GACTCGATGGCGGCGTGGCATGCAACGCGTTTGTTTGTACAACTCTGTTTCCTGGCTGGCTGCGATTTCGTTGGAAAATATTGAATATCCTCTTTTTACCCGACTGCCCAACCAAAAAAAGGAGTATGTGCAGTGCTTTAGACCACTGTAACTCGATAAATACTGAACATATTTAAATAGGAGTAGTGTGAGAAGAATCCTTACACCGTCTTGAGTGTCATTGGCTAGGTTTTGTCTTCGAAAACTTTAGGATAACTATATAATCATAAAGTTTTATTGTATTTCTTTATTGTCATTTATGTTGTTAGTACAGTGTGGTGCCGGTTTAGAATAGCATCACCCCATATCTTTCCCTTGGGTCTTGTAAGAAGCGATGAAGAGATATTTTGAGAGTTGATGTGTATTGCAAATTTAGGCCACATGCTGACGACCTGTCACTATGGCGATACAACAGTCTTCTGAATGACTCTGAAACTTCTGTCAGGCGTGGTGTAAATGGACATTTTTAACAGCCGTTTAAGCTCTTTTTACTCCGCAAGGAATATAAGCGTGAAGCGTGATATATGTGTACCTTCAGACAGACTACAAGTACCTAAGTACCGTCAGCACGACAAAGGATAACTTTGGGAAGGTAAGATTTTTTCCCAGCTAACTTTAAACTGTGTTGTAACCCTACAATGAGATTGTTACTGGACTTTGCAATGTTGTTTTCGTTACATTGCTAGTAGTTTTTTTAAACGGAAGCAGCCACACAATTGCAATGTGTTGCCATTCTAAGGAATAGCATCACCCCATATCTTTCCTGTGGGTATAGTAAGAAGCGAGTAAGAGATTTGAAAGTTGATGTGTATTTATTATGGGCGACAGGCTGACGGCCGGTCACTCTGGTGATACATGGACTTCTGAATGACTCTCAAACTTTTGTTAGCCGTTGTGTCAATGGCCGTTTTTACAGCCGTTTAGGCTCTGCCTACCCCGGAAGGGGATAGACAGAGAGAGAAAGGATATGGGTGTGATGTATGTATGTATTGCAATATTTTAATGTTAAAAACTATTTGATATCTCTTTACGACATCTCGACTCGGCGGTGACGCTCGGCGGAGCGGAAGTGTATCGTTCGTTACAACGATCGTTACGTAGGATAGATAACGAGTATGACAACTTCTAGCTCTACAAAAATATCTTAGCATCTACTTACGATTTGTAGGAAACTTCCCAATTTGTTCGACAAGGTGTAGGACTAGGTACTTTGCGAGTGAGCCACTGAGAATCAAACCAAAAACCTTTTGCGCCACAGCGGCCGTCAAATGAATCGACTGTTAAATGAATGCTAGTAAATCCAAACATCTGTCTCTTTCTAAACGAGACAGCACGTATAGAACACTAATGAAGACAGCTCTATTTCAGGGCTGTAACCGTTGATATAACACGTGCGTGTGATTACTACGTTATAAATTGCTAGTAGCTAGGGTTGTGCAAAATAGATTTTGGTAAATAATTTAAAAGGCCTCGCGCTGAGGTCTAAGGTTTAATTCCTAATTGGAGCAAGATTGCTGTGAATTATTAATTCAAATTAGGTACTGTTATCGGGTAACTAGATAAGATATTTGTGTTTGAAGATATTTATGTTTTGTTTTAGTCAATGCGATACAGTTATCTTTAATAGCCGTGTGGTACCGGCTTAGAATAGTATCACCCCATATAGCACCATATCTTTACCGTGGATGTCGTAAGAAGCCACTAAGTGATTTCAGAGTTGATGTATTGTAATTTTAGGCGACAGGTTGACAATCTGTCAGTGTGGTGATACACAGAAACACAAACATATTGGGTGAAATTTTACTAGTGACCGATAGCGATAACTCAGAACCGGCTGACAAGGAACAACTTTCCCCAAGGTACATAGGTCGAAACATGAAAAAAAAATTTGGGCCCCACATACAAAATTGGCGATCAGCTCATTTCAGTTACTATGGGAGGTCTTAAATTTTTTTTCGTATTTCGACCTATGTTCCTTAGGAAAAGTTGTTCCTTATCACCAGCCGGATCTGAGTTTTCGCTATCGTTCACTAGTAAAATTTCACACTATACAGGGTGTTAGGGACGGTGTACCGAAAACTTTGCAGGCATGATCAGACCATCAAACTGAACAACTTTTACTATGGAGCCAATGGTGGGAAACGACAAAAATTTTCGACCTCCCATACAAAATTCACGATCAGCGGAATGGCTTTGTATGGAAGGTCGGAAAATTTTTTTCGTTTCCCACCATTGGCTCAATAGTAAAAGTTGTTCAGTTTCATGGTCTGAGCACGCCTGCAAAGTTTTCGTTACACCGTCCCTAACACCCCGTATAGGTACTCAGAGGTGGCAGCAGCCCTGTTAAAGATACGTTTTCCACACGTTTTATCGCTGCACCTCACGAGTTTCTCGTCACAGGAAATTTATTGCTTGTCTTATTCCGGTTTAGGGTTCCGCACTTCCGTCACATAACAAGAAACGCGGATGTTGTTAAAGAAAGGCTATGGGAATAGAAAAGGGGTTCCTTGATGACATAATTACACATTGAAAGTTACTTTAATAGGTATATCTGTTTATGTGGATTGTAGTATTTATTGTTCCAATCTATAAATTTAAATACATTTATAGGCAGGCAGAAGTAAAACCGTGTTGTAAAAACGGTGATTTACACCACGTTTGACAATAGTTTGAGAGTCACTCAGAAGACTGCGTATCACCATAGTGACAAATTGTCAGCCTGTCGCCTATACAATACACATTCTTGCGACACCCACGGGAAAGATACGGAGTGATGCTATTCTAAGCCGGCACCAAATGACAAAAGTCCAAACAGATATCAATACTGTAACATTTATTTGTGCAACTTCCTAAAACCTATTATTAGAGGGTGCGAATCCAGAGCTCATTTTACTTTGAAAGCTAATTTTTCTTTACCATCTGTTGGCTACGGTCTGTAAGATCAAAACAGCTCATCAGGTTGTATAGTAGGTATGGTATACCGAAAATATTTCTCCTTTTACTAAGGAAGCGTTTTGAATCCAATGAAAGTCTCTTGACAAAATGATAAAAGTCCCAAAACTTAGAAAAAGTTACCGCACCGCAACACATCCCAAAACTTCTAAGTTACCGTCATACAAAAACCAACAAGGCGTAAAATATTACCTACCCTGATTCGTGTTTTCCAAGAAAAAGGCAATGGTTGTTCAAAGTTCGAGTGAGCTTGGCTGGAAAATAAAAGGATTAGAGCAACAAACTCGGCAGGTGGTCGCCTCTCGATTCTCAGATCGATTTAAGGGAAAAGTTTCCGACTTTAGAAGTTCTAGTGATGTGGCTATTTAAGATATAGAAATATATTGTCTCTGTCGGTCTTTATACATTTTTCGCATTTACTTATGAAAGTTCTAAAGAGTTAAACACGTGATAATTCAGTTTTTAGAAGCAGTTTGCCGTAGACTTGCAATCCCAATTTTGGAGCTTGTATACTTTCGTAGCCATCGCGTAGCACGCTGCTACGATATCTATCGTAAAGATTATTATTGTGCCGTGTGATTCCGGCTTAGAATAGCGTCACCTAAGGGGTTTGAGAGTTGATTTAAATTACAATTTTGATAATGCCCATATTTTACGGCCGTTAAGATTCTGCCTACCGCGGCGTGATGTGTATGTTATAATGATGTTAAGACCATACCAGCGAAAATAAAGCAGTGTACATCACTAGCACACAACTTGTTCAAAGACTCGCGACAGTCCTGATTGTAACAAAAGAATGCGGCCGGAATAACAAACGGTCGCCATGTCAAGCCGCAGATTAAAATTGTTTGTTTGAGTTATGTGAACTTTGTAAGGATACTTACGAAGTATAAAGGGTAGGTAGGTAACGTCCGTTTCGACGTTATTTTTTTTAGGACAGTAGGAATTTCAACCTTATTCCCGTATGTCAGACGGTTGAACAGACATATCTGTTAGCGCTGCGCATTGCACAACGCTGCGTTGAGCGTCTGGCAAACGTTTTTTTATGCATGAATAAGGTAATAAGGTCAAAATTCGTATAGTCTTAACACATGCGCTACGCAACGCAAAAATAGCACAAACGGACTTTACGTGAGTTTCTCTCCTAATTAATAAAGGGTTCCTAAGAGTGACATACAGACGTGAAAGCAAAAGAAAACATTTATTTCGTTCCTCATTTCTTTTAGATTAAAGTAATCCGTTTCTCTTGTAAGTAAAATGGACCTGCATCTGTTGAGGAGTCAAAAGTCTGATAAAAAGGATGTTTTTTTTTATATATGTGACTGCAAATATTCGGGTGAACCAGTATATAAAACTGATCAATTTTCCCCAAGGAACATTATTTGAAATACTAAAGAAAAGTATCTTAGACCATATACAAAGGTCCAATATTTTTTTCATTAATTCGATCTATTATCCTTGGGAAAAATTCGTAGAATGGTTCACCTCCTAAAATACCTATGTGTATTTTTTTACTCTTTATTAATACTACAAGTATTATGTTTTCAGTCAGGATATATGAAGCGTTCAATCAGTAATAAATCTGAATTGAATACGAATTCCGTAATAAATTGAAATAACGTACTCACACAGTTTTCCATTACAACAAGCTTATTTCTCGAACACTCTTTCATTCTGCGGAAATTGATACCTACAGTTCTCCACTTTGAATAAATTAATTGAAAAGGGAATTAAGGTAAATCGGACGCGTGCCAGGCAACATTGCGGTTAGTAACAGCCACCCTTTGTAACCGAGTGCCTCAGGAGGGTTATGTTTTTCGAGAGTATGTATGTATTTATGTATGTATCCAGAAATTAGTTTTTACGGGCTACAGCCCAAACGACTGGGCGGATCTTGACATGTGAGGTGTCGTTAGTGTCGTTTCAGCAGCGTGAGAGACACTGGCTATATTAAAAATTCATAAATTCAAGATGGCGGATTTTTATCGCAAAATACACTGCTTGTTGCCGACATAAATGTGGCGCTGTGGTAGTGCAACTGCCTGCGACGCAGAAGGTTCCGGGTTCAATTCCCGGTGGGTCACTTCACACAGTTGATATTGGTCACTTTGTGAATTTGTTCTCAGTATGGTTAGTACATTGCAGGCTGAACAACCTAATTGTCCGTAAAAAAGATTGTACCGTGCTTTGGATGACACTTTAAGTCGACGGTCTTGGTTGCTATCTATATCTAATTACGTAGATGGCAGTCGTTTCAAAACTATTTCAGAGGCCTGCTACTTATAGTAGGCGGTAGAAAAACTGACGCTGGGCTGGGGTTCGTCTAGTCGTTGGACGACTCGGCGTCCTTCACGAAGAGAACGACCATTTTTACCGTGTGATGCATTATAAGAATAACTTTACTAAAATTTTACCCGAGAGTATCGTAAAAACGACTAAAGTAACCATTAGATATCTAAGCTATCACGTTCCTCATTCACCAATGGAATGGCCAGTGAATCCCTTTGTTGCAGCGACGTATGACATGATATCCAGATACTGTAAATTTTATTCATCAGTAAAACGGATCCGGCGCAAAATCGGAAAATCTTATGGTGCGTGTAGGAACAGTCTTAAATAGCGTGCAAGCGAAATCGCTTACGTTATTATTTACATAGTAGTTAATAGAATTTTTATTACTTGCTATGGTGAATTAGTAATTAGGGTCAGCTCCTAAGGAGGTTCAATTAATAGCTATAGCTTAAAACCGCTGCTTTATTTCTACATTTACAATCTAGGCTGGTAATATTTTGACAGGTTTTCATACTTTATGTATCTAGCTAGGCATCAGTGCAACACAACATGCTTTCTTTTTTTACAATTGTATAGACAGTCAAATCCTTAATAAGTAATTTAATTTGTCTATGAATAGAGATGACAATATCGCCTACGCCTTATCCCTTGCGGGGTAGTCAGAGCGTCGACGGCTGAAGAAAACGTGTATTTACCTACACCACGTCTGACAAAAGTTTAAGGGCCTTACCACAAAAAAGTTAGACCGGTGTTGAACGCGTGTCTAGCGTTTTATTCGTATGAAGTCTTATTTTAAACACGCGTTCGACACTGGTTTAACTTTTTTGTGGTAAGGCCCTTAGAGTCAAGCAGAAGACTGTGTATCAACATTGTGACAGCTTGCCAGCCTGTCGCCTAAAATTGCAATATACCTACATCAACTCTCAAATCCCCCAGTCGCCTCTCACAACGCACACGAGAAAGATATTGGGTAATGCTGTTCTAAGCCGGCACCACACGGCAACTGCAATTATTAGCATTACCTTGTACAAGAAATACTAAAACACTTTTCGTTTTCACTTGAATTAATAATAGAAAATCGCAAAGTAAAGTTCAAAAGATCCTCCCCAGCGGATCCTTCAAAAAGTTAAAGGTTCCAGGCGTATTGATATCATTGGAACCTTTAGGAATTGCCCTTGGGCTTTGAGTAATTCATCTGGATTTCTTTTAGAAAGCTGAAGTATTTTTGTCGCATGACCTCTGTAGCCTACTTTGAATTACTTTTCAGGCTGGAATAAAATGTTGGTTGCTACGGGAATTTAGAGTTTGAGAAAAACATCACCGTATCTCGTGTTGCGCTTGTTACACAAAACAAGGCAATCAAGAACATCAGATGTGGTGCCGGCTTAGAATAGCATCTATTCTATTCTATTTCAGCCTATTGCAGTTCACTGCTGGACGTAGGCCTCCCCCAGGGAACGCCATAAGGCACGATCTCCCGTTTTTGCCATCCAGTCGCTACCAGCCGCCTTTTTTAAGTCATCGGTCCATCTGGCCGGAGGGCGTCCAACGCTACGCTTGAGGCGTGGCCTCCACTCGAGAACCCGCTTACTCTACCGTCCGTCGGTTCTACGACAGATGTGGCCAGCCCACTGCCACTTCAGCTTGCTACACTTCCAGACTATGTCCGTCACTTTAGTCTTTTTTCGGATGGCCTCATTCCAGACTTTATCCATTATAGAGATACCAAGCGTCTATGCTTTCCATAGCTCTCTGAGTAGACATTTGACATGTAGCCGGAAGTATGTAGAATAGCATCACCTCATATCTTTGTAAGAAGCGACTAAGGGATTTGAGAGTTGAGGTGTACCACATATCTGTTTTTTGAAAGATCTTTATTTGAAACCTGCAACAGTCTTAAACCAATACTTAGCTCGAAACTTTGTAGGTACTACCGGCATAGCTAAAGCGGCTTTTCATCAGTTCATAGACTTTTTCCTACGTAGTTTTGTTGTTTACTATAGAAGAGTGCTTAGGTTATTTGTGAGTAACACTGAAGAATTAATATTTTTCGATTTAAATGCACTCACAGAGGTTTATTCCAATTTCTTGTTTTCCCTAGAAACACTAACCGCTTTAGAAAAAGTTTTCCACGGAAAAATATCTCTCCAGCAATAAAATGTTTGAAAAGTTACGATTGAAACTAAACTGAACCTAGGTCGTAAAACTAGTCCGTTGAGGACAAACACTTAAATCTAAAGAACGTTACGTTCAAATATACCTATCTTTACCTACGAGTATAATTCTGTGAGCTGCAGTTTTCTATATTTAAACAGGTAACCATATCAGCCACAACAGTCCATTACCCGGGGGTATTGCCATACTCACCATGTTTGGCAATAGGATTGGCGAGCGCAGAGCAAGATGTTGCATTTACAGGGAACGTTGCTGCCCATTCCTGTTGTCGCATTTTACGACACTTACGGGTAGCTTTAGGGTGATAGGGCTGAGCACGACATCAAACCGGTAAAAATAAAAAATATATAAGAAACATCTTTTAGCATAACTTGAAATTCAATTTACGCAGTGCCTAAGTAGGTGTGTGTATAAATAAACTAGGGTGCTATGCATCATTGGTATCAGACTGAAGTTAGTTCGTCTAATTAGGTCCTGAGAGACTTAGCGCCGCATTCGAGCTCGCACATATATCTTGATACTCTTGTGAATTTGATATTGTAGGTATTGATTTTGGTGCAGTTTCGTAATACTTTATGAAGCTTAGATTCTAGCACATTTAATGTCGTATATAGTATTAGTTTTATGGACACTCTGCAATGCATTATTGTTACGACGAAATGACCAAATGAATTTCTGGGAATGTTTCTAATCAGGCGAAATATCAGCAACCGCAAATAAAGTTACAAATTAAAGATGTCAAACCATGTTTATTCTTTGAAAAGTTTAATAGAATATCGGAAGCTCAAAATAAAGCAATTTGTCAATTACATTTGAACATCCTTTGTCTTTTTACACAACGATAGATCTTCCTAAAAATTCACGCCATTTCAATTCCACAAGACCATAAAAGGGAAAAAGAGTGCTTAAAAGCGGAATGTTCTGGCTCAAACGTTCACTAAATGTAAGATTCAGATTCAGATAATTTATTTCTCAATACAATTTTTACATCACAGTAATAGGATTACATTAAATGAAATAAAAGTATGTATAAAGATCGTCATTACAATGGATAAACAACAAATTCTTATTATCAAGTTAATCTTAGTTATTAATCAAGTCACAGTAATTTGTCTTTTAGATATTCAGCCACAGAATAATATGGATTATCCAACAAGAGGTTTTTAATTTTTCTCAAAAACTTTTTATCATCAGTCTCATTTTTTATTGAGCTTGGAAGGTGATTGTATAACGTCGGACCCATAACTCGTGGATTTTGTTTTGCAGCCTGCGTATGGTGCGCAACTGGTCTCAGCATGCCAGCTTGACGAGTTCGGCCATTGTAAATTGGAAAAGAATTTAAATTACGCCTTGTAAATATTAAAATTTCATATATATATGACGAAACTTGTGACATCACTTTGAGATCTCTAAAAATAGGTCTACAAGTTTGTCGCATTTTTGCGCCTACCATGGCCCTAATTGCTTTTTTCTGAGCTATTAGTACCCTCTTTGAATCCGTAGAGTTTCCCCACAGTATGATTCCGTACAAAAGCAATGAATGGAAATATGCAAAATAAGTTTGCCGAAGTATTTTTTGGGATACTAATGGTTTCAATGTCTTTAAAGCATAAGTTGCACTTGATAGTTTTGCGCATAGTTTGTTGACGTGTTCTTTCCAATGCTTGCATCGATATGAAAACCCAAGAATCTGCAATTTTGACATAATGGCGCAGGATAGATGGTATTTCTCAAGTTGGCTAGTGTTTTTCCTGAAAATATCATTATGTTTGATTTTTTATCATTCAAAATCAGCCCGTTCCACGCAAACCACGAACTGAGGTGGGAAAATACAGTCTTAATCTCAATATCAAGAGCTTCATGAGTTGGTGCTTTTAAAATAACCGTGGTATCATCCGCAAAAAGAACGACTTTGTAATCTCTTACATAGTGGGCTAAGTCATTTATAAATCCCAAGAATAATGTATTTCCCAGAGAGGATCCCTGTGGAATGCCAATAGATATATTTCCAGCACTAGAACGATATTTTTTACCATTATTAGTTGCCTCAACTGTTTGCTGGCGACCTGTCAAAAACGACTGTAATAGATTTTGTGACTTATCTGTTATGCCATATTTTGATAACTTTTTGATTAAAAGATCATGGTTTATTACGTCAAATGCTTTTGACAGGTCGCATAAAATGCCAGCAGTCTTAACTTTATTATCAATACTGGTAAGTATGCTATCAACAAGTGTATGAGCTGCATAGACAGTGCTTTTATTTTTACGGTACGCGTATTGATGATCTGATAGTAAATGATTACTTTCAAAATGTAGCATAAGCTGCTGTGATATTGTACTTTCGATCATTTTTGATACAGTCGGAACTATTGTTATAGGTCGGAAACTATCCACATTGGTCTTAGCACCTTTATTTTTATAAACGGGACATACGCGTGTGCATTTCAGAATATTCGGATATATACCAGTCTCAAACATTTCATTAATCAAATCCACTAGTATATTAGCAATAGCTGGCCATGCTGCTTGTAATATATTGACAGAAATATCATAGATATCTAATGTTTTCAGTGATTTTGTCATTTCTTTAAATGTTTTGTCAAGACTTTGCCG